AATTAATTTTGTGTTTTGTTTATGTCCAGGGCCCCATGAAGCGGCTGTCATGCACATAGCGACATTGATTGCATTCGTGCAGGTATGTATCTTTTTTATGACACTACTAGATTTCGTCTACGACTAACAAAAGCAAGTCTATGTGTTCTACTATAATCTACATCTGTTCCAAATTTCATCGAGATCCGTTCCGTAGTTTCGACGATAATCTCTAACAAACATGCAAGTAAACTTTCGAATTTATTAGGTAAGAAGTAAGACTTAGTTAACAATTTACTATTATGTCCAGATTTCGAAAGTAAACCACACATAGACAGGACAAAAGTTCATAGAACACGCTGATCTTTTTCTATACTAATATTATAAAGAGGAAAGATTTGTGTTTTTGGATTTTTGTATTTATTGAAATAACTTAAAAATATCTGGGCCGATTTCAAAAATTCCTTTACCATTAAAAAGCTACGTTAGCAGTGAGTAACATAGACTATATTTACTATATTATTATTTAATTTCACGCGTACGAAGTCGCAAGCAACAGCTAGTATATTCTAAATGTCAACATCACAATGTAATATCTTTAATAGTTTTATGTTGATTTGATTGCGAATCAAGAAAGTAATAAACAATTTTCATGATGTAACTAATTAAGTTACAAGTCAAACTTAATTAGACAAAAACTTCATTCGGCATCAGAGCTCACATTAAGATCAAGCGAGTAAGAAATATTACACTGAGGCTGTAACCATTACAAAACTATGGCATAATATATTGTGAAACGCCGCGCGAATCAAGCAAATAACACCGTCTAAAAAAGATAAATCAGCAGAAATTATCTGATTTGTGTTGTCTTTGAATGATACGTCTTTTTATCCAAACTTAAAAGTTATGAAACACTTTTGTTGTTTTTTTTGTTTCATAAATCGATAAAGTAAGTGGAATATTGTACTGGTGTTATTGTTAATGAAAAAATCTCATTTTAAGATTATAAAATGAACTTGATATTCTTGATAAACTTCTTTTACTCTGTAATTTTTATTTTAAAATTAAGGTAATCATTACAAACATCAAAAGTAGTAAAATTGAGCCGATTACATTGAGGTAAAAAAGAGAATTTTATAGAATGTACCAAACTAGCAAAACCTATGAACCATTAAAGTTCAAAATTACTAATTGTAGAAACTATACACATATAAGAGGAACTCAGTAAGTTATCATACTCCATACTTTTTAATATAATAAATGCGAAAGTTTATATAGATGGATGGATGGATGTTTGTTAGAGTGTGTACCCTAAACAGCTGAATAGATTTCGATGAAATTTGGCATAGATGTAGAGCATAGTCTGTAAGAACACTTAGGTTACTCAGTTTTGATTTTTTTTTAATTCCACGCGAACGGAGTCGCGGCCGAAAACTAGTAAGCTATAATATTCGGCAGCCTCAATAGACAACCGGTAGAACAATATTGGCTTGAATTTTTCACAAGACTCAATGGTTTGTAATAACGCGAAAAATTGCGTGTGAATGGAAAATATTCGCATTGTGTAGGCGAACAATGTTCAGATATATAGATAGGAGCCGGGTAAGGCAATCAATCTTATAAGTAAATCAGGAAAGGCGCGGTTTACTTCAAGATCAAACCTAGTAACAGAAGAACCGGAGGCCTAATTTTGGTCCCTTTCCCTTTCCACCCTTTCTTAAGAGGAAGGGAAGGGAAGGAAAGGTGGATTTGACGATTGCGAAGACGCATAGGAAGGGGAAATGTCCTTTTTAAGTGCGTCTCCTCCTTCGTCAATGAAGGGTAGGCAACGCATCTGCAATTGCGCATGTTTATGGACAGCGGTCGCTTTTCATTTCGGGGGATTCAGGCCGCTTGCTCGTTTGCCACCTTATATTATAAAAAAAGGTTACATACGGTGAATCTCATATTTATGTGAAGTCTAAAGCGGCAAATTTGTTATTGCCAAACTAGATTAAAAGCCTGTACCACGAACGACCGGCTTTGAATGTGGTAGTCAATCAAAGTTAGTCCCAATCCTTAAAATACATTACAAATATACAAGGTCATTAACAAAAAGCACATACTGTTATACAATTGTTTTTTTTGTCGCACATATAGCGGAGTCTCTACTCCAATAAAACTCTTTAGGTCCAACATTCCGGCTATCAAAGTGTCAATACCGTTGTGATTTCGTCCGAAGTAAAACGCTTATTAAAAATAGATTGAAGCAATATTTTTTCAACACTGCCGCTACGTCAAACACACTAGTACCTCGGAACACCTAGAAGATATCACTTTCTCATACATGGCAAGATCTAGTCGACAAAACGAAGCTTCAAATACGCAACCATAATTAAGGTTAGATCGATCATGTTTATATTAGTGTCAAACTGACAGCTACAACAGATGCAGTTTTAATTGTCACAAAGTCGTGTAACAAAACTGACAGTTACATAGTGTTACCAGTGAGAATATTTGCGTTCCGTTCGACACAAGTATTTTTTCTTTAACAATAATTATGGATCAACAATTTCAATTACTGTTTGAAGAAATGAAGATAGAAATGCAAAGACAAACTATTGAATTACGAGAATCTATTACAAACAGTATAATGGATAGAATGGATGAAAAATTAACTCCGATCATTGCGGAAAATAAAAAGCTCAAACAAAAAATCAATACATTAGAAAAAGAAGTTGAATACTTAAAACGCGAAAAGAAAGGTAACAATCTTGTTATTTTTGGAATAGAAGAGGGCGAAAAATCAATATCGGAGCTATTTGATAATTTTAAAAAGATACTAAAAGACAACATAAACATAGATTTACAACAACGCGAAATAAACAAGTTATATCGTCTAGGAAAAAATAAAATTGCACATAAACCAAGACCAATATTATGTTCATTTATAAACAAATGGAAGAAGGAAGAAATTTTGAAGAATAAAAGAAATTTGAAAGAAATTCACGTTTCTGAGGATTACACAAAAGAAGTTTTGGAAAAACGAAAAGCTTTAATGCCAAAATTAAACGAAGAAAAGAAAAAGGGAAACATTGCTTTCATTAAATATGATCAACTCATAGTAATAGAACAAAATACTAATGCAGATAAAAGAAAAAGGGAGCTATCTACATCACCACAATTGCCATCAAAAATACACACAAAAAAACATCAAATGCCAAGTTCCCTCAAATCAAATAGATCAAACGCCTTCGATATAATGAGATCACATTCTCTAACCAACATCTCAAACAACAGCAAACAATAGCAATTAACAACCGGCAAACGGAAAAACAAACCAACACATGAAAACCGACTAGAAGACAAAACACAACCACCCCCAAGCCGACTGGTCCTCGTGGGGGATAGAGACCACGACCCTCCGACATCACATCTTTACAATTCCCATAAAGCAAAATTATATGTTGCTGCTTTAAATGTCCGCACGCTGAAAAGGGAAGAAAACCTCGCAGAATTAATACAGGCGCTGAGTAATATCAAATATGACATTCTCGGTCTTAGTGAATTAAGACGGGAAGGAGAAAGAATTATTGCCTACCAAGACTTCTTGCTTTATCATATAGGATCGACTCCAGGACAATACGGAGTCGGCTTTATTGTCAAAAAGAACCTCGTAAACAATATTGAAGGATTCATCGGAATCTCAGAGCGCATAGCAATAATGAATCTAAAGCTGCCAGAGTACCAGGAGCCATGGTCAATCATACAAATATATTCACCCACAGAGCAAGCGGATACTAAAACAATAGAATCATTTTACCTGGAGTTAAACAAATCTATCCAACAGCATGCTCACAAAAACTTAATTGTTATGGGAGACTGGAACGGACAAATTGGAGAGAGGCGCCAAGGCGAAGAAAAAGCTGTAGGACCATACACGTATAGCAACAAGCATAGGAGCAGAAATGGAGAGAGATTAGTAAACTTTACATTGGAAAACAACTTAAGTATTTTAAATACTATGTATAAGAAAAACAAAAAGAGGAAGTGGACTTGGGTCTCGCCAGATGGGGAAACAAAAAATGAAATTGATTTTATAATGACGAACAAATGTAAATGCTTCTCAAATTATGATGTCATCAACAAACTAAACTACAACACAGACCACAAGCTGATCAGAGCTGAACTAAAAACAGATCAACCGAAAAGACCTAGACCCAGGCAAGAAATAGCTAACCTTAAACTCGGAAAACATCAATTACACCAACTGGTCATCGACTTAAAGAACAAATTCACGAATTTCAAACAAAGGACAGAGAGATTTGAAACACAGGAGAAGTACAATTTAATAGAAAGTATTATTAAGAATCAAATTCAGTCCACAAAAAGCAATACCAAGAATAATCAGAAGACATGGCTAACGACAAATACTTTGAAACTAATGGAAAGAAGGAACTATTTAATAAGCACAAAAGATGTAAAGAATAGAAGAGAGAAATTAACAGAAATCAGTAAAACAATAAAGCAGAGTATCAGAGAAGATAGAAAACGAAACAGATTAGAAATAATAGAGAAATATATTAAGGAAACTGGTGGCGCCAAAAAAGCTTACAAGGAAATAGAAAAGTCAAAAGATTGGTTTGTAAAAATAAAAAACAATAGAGGAAACTTGAAT